GCTGGGAGTGCGGGGAGACACTGGAGAGGTTGAGAATGTGGGTGCAGGCCTTGGACCCTCACCTCGCCCACACCGTGTGTTTTCTCCTCCGACCCTGTCCTACATCCTGGTGATCTCTATTGTTCTGTTTTCGCTGAGAATCACAAAGTACCAAAGTTGGAATCCACCTAGTTCAACTCACTTACTTTACAGATTGGAGATGTAAGGGTCAGAAAGAGGAAAAGGAGGCTCAGGCAGGGGTGGTGACTTGTCCACAGCCATCCTTGTGTGTGGAGCTGGGACTGACTTCCCACCCGTTATTTCTCTCATGACCAGGAAGCCATGAGGAGTGCAGACCTTGGAGGTGGGGCCAACGGGTAAACTTGGGTGCAGGTGTACTGATCATAGAGTGTCCAAGGAGAGAGTGATTGGCCACATTTTTAAAAATTATTTATTTAGTTTGAAAGAGTTATTTATTTATTTTGAAAGGGAGGGAGGGAGGGAGAGAAAGAGAAAGAGAAAGAGAAAGAGAAAGAGAAAGAGAAAGAGAAAGAGAAAGAGAGAGAGAGAGAGAGAGAGAGAGAGAGAGAGAGAAAGAGATCTTCTATCTGCTGGTTCACTCTCCAGAAGGCCACAACAGTCAGGGCTGGGCCAGGCTGAAGCCAAGAGCCAGGAGCTTCATCTGGGTCTCCCACATGGGTGACGGGAGCCCAAGCACTTGGGACATCTGCTGCTTTTCCCAGGCCATTAGCAGGGAGCTGGATCAGAAGTGGAGCTCCCAGGACATGAATTGGCACTCATATGGGGTGCTGGGATCACAGGTGGTGGCTTTACCCTCTATGCCACAACACCAACCCTGATTGGCTGCATTTGCTAGGGGCACCTTCCTCCCCTGGCCTGCATTCCCTGGAGGCAGCTGGGCTCCGGACTTCTTATCCCTCCTCTCTAGAGTCCATTTGACATGGGAATGGTTAGTGGACGCTGCTTCCAACTTGGGGGACATTCAGCAGCCCTGTGCATGCTGTCACCCCTGCTGCTCGGTCCCTGGCTTTTTTTGTGAGGGTGAGAGAAAGAAAGGCCACACTGACCTCTGAACCTCAAGAAGAGTGGCCTGGGAGCCCAGAGTTTGCAGCAGCAGTATCTTCTGGGGCCAACCTGCCCGTGACCTCAGCCGTGGCTGTGGCTTCTTGTATGAAGTGTGGGAGTGTGGTGGGACACTGACTTCTGGTGACTGCCAGTGTGTATGGCTATGTGTGTGTGTGTGTGTGTGTGTGTGTATCTGAGTGTGGAGAAAGTGCGTTTCTGGACAACCATATGGGTCCAGGAACCGAAGGGTGTGTTTGAGTGTGCAGCAGCCTCTGTGTCTGTGAGGGTGGCCACACCTATGAGAGTGTTTCTGTGGCAGAGAATGTTTCCAACAGGAGATCTGGGCTGTGGGGAGCAGGTGCACGTTTTTCCACGTGTATTGCACTACAAGGAAGTGGTGCTGTATAGAGCACTGTAGATGGGAGTGGCTTTGCAGGACACGGCGTCAGAGCAGCCCGAAAGGGATGGATCTGGGAACCCTCAACGATTCCCTACTGCTGACTGAGTAAAGTCCAGCTCCTTCTGCCTGTGTCCAAGCCGTGCAGTGTCCTTCTCATCCCGTCCTCAAACTTCCCTCTGCTTCTCTCCGGACATGTCCCTCTCAGGCCACTCCCCCTGATCTCCTTACCCACGGCACGGTGGGGTGACCGCACTTCACAATAATGTGTAACGTACTGTGTACAGAGCTGGAAGGCAGGACCTAGTAGGCTCCAAACATAGAGAGAGATAAGGAAGTGGAAGTGATAACTCCCTGGTTTTCTCAGTGTGCATGGTCTACATGTGTGGGAATATTACACTGTATCCCATAAAATGTAAGAGTATTACATGTTAATACAAAATTCTCTCTGTGCCTTTCAAATAGTTTGTTTTTAAGATCTATTTATTTGTTTGAAAGCAAAGTGACAGAGAGAGAAAGAGAGAGACAGATCTTCCTTCCACTGGTTTACTCCCCCAAAGGTCCACATTGGCTGAGGAGGTTGGTCCAGCCTGAAGCCAGGAGCACAGAATGCTCTCTGGGCCGCCCACGTGGGTGGCAAGGGCGCAAGGACTTAGACCATCTTCCTCCTTGTTGATTTTCCCATCTGTCAAACGGCTGGAGCATAATAGCCTGCAGCTTCAGGTTTGCTTTAGTTGATTTCTAGGATTTACATAATTATTGTACCTAGGCAGCTTCTCAGATGCTAAACATGTGGCAGGACTCACGGACGTCCTGTATGGCTCAGATGATGGAGGAACCACATCCCTCTGGGAACCTACTCCTGAGCATGATGGGCACCGTGTGTCCTGAGAGCTCAAGAATCCACAAAATGAAGTGAAGACCGTGGAGGAGATCCCTGAGCGCAGACATCACTCAATCAGGGGTGAGCTTTGCAGGAACAGCCCTGCAGTTGCCAGCTCTCCTCACAACGCCTCTCGTCTTTGTCATGATGTGTGCGTTCCTTGCTGATTGGCGTTAAGAGGAATGGGGGGACTAGGAAAGGGTTGTAAAGCTTTGTGATGGGAGAAGGGGATCTAGGGACCAGTGCCGTGGCTTATTTGCTTAATCCTCTGCCTGTGGCACCAGCATACCATGTGGGCGCCGGTTCTAGTCTCAGTTGCTCCTCTTCCAGTCCAGCTCTCTGCTGTGGCCCTGGAAGGCAGTGGAGGATGAGCCAAGTGTTTGGGCCCCTGCACTCGCATGGGAGACCAGGAGAAGCACCTGGCTCCTGGCTTCGGATCAGCGTAGCTCCAGCCATAGTGGCCATTTGGGGAGTGAACCAATGGAAGAAAGACCTTTATCTCTGTCTCTCTCTCTCACTGTCTAACTCTATCTGTCAAATAAATAAATACATAAAAAGAAGGGGATCTAATTCATTTAAGCCTTTGTCAAAATGTGGTGACTTGGGGATGTTGTACTCTGCTGTCAAGATACAGGCTCATCAGGAAATAGGGTGACCAGCCATAGTGGTGTGTTTACTAAGGACCAGCATCCTGCTCCATCAGTGTAGTAACTAACTGTGAGACGGCTGTGGTTACTAAGGACCAGCATCCTGCTCCATCAGTGCAGTAACTGTGAGACGGCTGTGCTTACTAAGGACCAGCATCCTGCTCCATCAGTGTAGTAACCGTGAGACGGCTGTGCTTACTAAGGACCAGCATCCTGCTCCATCAGTGCAGTAACCGTGAGACGGCTGTGGTTACTAAGGACCAGCATCCTGCTCCATCAAGGGCATCACCTTTGCAGGGAGCCAGGCTGAAGCCCCATCCCTCCTGCAGTCTAAATGCCCTTGAAGGGTCTGACCGACTTCTCCTTGAAGGGGAGTGGTGGGGGAGGGCAAGCCAGCCCTTAGCTGGGGGCCAAGGAGGGGCCTCCATGGGGAGCCCATCTGTGGGCCATGAGAAAGCATTGTTTGAGTTCCATAACTTGCCGTGCCTTTGGCAGGATTCAGGGACTAATCCAGGCAGGGGCTGGCATTTGGCTCTGGCCAAGCTCCATCTGTTCCTATGTTAACTCACAGGGTCCACTCCTGTCCTGCTCCTGCCAAGAGGGGCTTCCCAGGCAGGCTGCAGTGCCTTGGGCCTTGCCCAGAGGGAAGACAAAGGAAAGCTATAATAATTGTGAACTCTGAGTAGAAAGGAGTCCCAAGGGCACTGGGTTTTGAGGGTCCACAAAGACCCAGGGCTTGAAGCACAGCAATTACCATTGCCTAAGAGGCCAGGGTGAAGGCATTTCTTCTCCTGACCCAAACTTCCTCTGGGAAGAGTTGTAACCGTAACACACAGCAGTCATATCATCCCTACCCAGCCACATGCCGATCCACACACGGAGCAAAATTCTACCACGTCCACCACAGACCATCCCTGCACTTCAGCTCTAAGCAACATTAACCAGCATCCATTAAAGGGATCAAAAACGTCAACTGATACCTAAAATATTCTTATGCCTAACTTTCATCCAGTTACTAAATTTATCACAAACATTATCCAGACACCAAGTTAAACATACTGGGGACTATAACTCAGCTTTAGGAATAAAAATGAAACTAGAACTCCAATCTTAGTTAGTTCTACACTCTAGCACTAATTCTAAAATCTTCCTAATATTTGTACAAAGAACCAAGCTTATCCAAATTTTGATTTCTAAATTTATTAATTTCTAAATTTATTAATCTTCAATTAATAAAAAATTAATAAAAATGATCTAAATAATTAAATTTACATCATTTTAATTCAACCCTAAATTCATCTGATTGTTTCTTAATTGTATCTGACCTTAACCCTCACCTACTCTGCCCCTGCTCTTATTTGAACCCTAATCCTAACCCGATTCTGACCAAATCCATAATTCTGGCTCTTTCCCAACCTCTGTCCTATGCCTGGGCTGGTGTAACCTTGGCCAAATCAAAAACCCAACTGTTGGGATTTCAGCAGTGAGCCTGTGTGTGTTCGGCTGCTGTGCAGCCATTTCCTGAGGGACGGAAGGCACAGGCTGCAAGAGAGGGGTGCTTGGCAGAGGGGGCTCTGGCGACGCTCTGCTGAAGCCACGGGGAGCAAGAGCAGACTCGCTGGCCTTGGGGGATCTTAGGGCAAAAACCTAGGAACACTTGGCGCCAACACAGCTGTCCTTTGGCGTTCTGGGGCATCAGCCTTTCACAGTGCAGACGGCAAATAAGCCCGTTGACTCCGTCGACTAACATCTAGGAGTTTTCCTGTCTTGGATGTAAGGAATCCGAGGCGGCTCAATCGCGACATTTACCAGGTTCTGGTGCTGCCTTCGGGTCCAGAACTAGGGTGCACTGGGGTTCCTGCCTTCCTCCTGCACACATCCACTCGCCAATCCCTTAAACAATGGAAAGAGACATCCCAGCCAGAGGAACATGCATCTTTACCCACAGTGGTAAGAGACCAGGGTCTTCGCCGGTTCACACGCGTGTCTAACCAGCCATTCGGCACGGTCACCGGTGCCCCTGTCCTGGACAGCAGAATCGAGTCAAGGTCCGCCGGAGGGCCTCCTTGACCTCCTTGTTGCGGAGGCTATAGATGAGAGGGTTGAGAGCTGGGATGACAAGGGTGTAAAACACAGACGCCATCTTGTCAGTGTCCAAGGCGTAGCTGGAGCTGGGACGCAGGTACATGAAAATGAGCGTCCCGTACAGCATGGCCACGGCCATGAGGTGGGAGCCGCAGGTGGACGCCGCTCGCCGACGGCCCGCAGCAGAGCGCATGCGGATCACAGCCCCGACAATGAACCCGTAAGACACGGCGATCACCGACACCGTGGCTGTCTGGATGAAGCCACAGACGGCGAAGAGGAGGAGCTCATTGAGACTGGTGTCGCTGCATGAGATGGCCAGCAGGGGAGGGATATCGCAGAAGAAGCTGTTGACCTCCCGGGAGCCACAGAAGCTCAGGCGGAAGGTGAAGGTCGTGTGGACAAAGGCGCTCACTGCCCCACCCAGTCCTGATGCCCCCAGCAAGGCCAGGCATAGACGCCGGGACATAGCTGTTGTATAGAGCAGAGGGTTTCCGATGGCCACATAGCGGTCGTAGGCCATGGCTGCCAACAGGCAACACTCAGCATCCGCCAGCCCTGCAAAGACAAACATCTGGAGGGCACAGGCCGCATAAGGGATGGTGGCACACGGCAGCAGCAGGTCCACTAGCATCTTGGGGCCAATGGCCGAGGCATAGCAGGCATCCAACAAGGAGAGGTTGGCCAGGAAGAAGTACATGGGTGTGTGCAGCCGGGCGTCCACGCCTATCAGCAGCACCATGCCCATGTTGCCCAGCAGGCTCCCCAGGTAGACGGGCAGGAGTACCAGGAAGAGGGTGACGCGCAGGTCCCAGCGATCTGTGATGCCCAGGAGGATGAACTCAGCAGGGGCAACCCCCGTCCAGGTGAAGTTCCCTAGGTTCATCCTGCTGGACAGAAACTGGGGAGAGGCAAAGCAAGGGGGAGATGAGAGAAAGGCAGGGCCCCCGTGGGGAGAAAGCGCCGTGTCCTAGGCATTGAGCAGACTTGGGGGTCAGTCCTAACGGTGCCACAAAACTCCCGTGCGACCTCAGACCAGCCGCAGGACCTCCCAACACCTCTCTGACTGATGCTACAAAGTCATTGCAGTGTCACCATCATGAATGCTAGGATCCCGTTTGTTTTACTTGCTTTGACATCCACAGCACAGAGGAGTTCACCTGGCACATAGCAAGGGCTCAATAAAAACTTGATAAATGAGGGGCCATTGCTGTGGTGCAGCAGGTTAACGCCCTGGTCTGAAGCTCCGCATCCCATGTGGGCACTAGTTCGAGACCCCACTGCTCCACTTCCAATCCAGCTGTCTGCTATGGCTTGGGAAAGCAGTAGAGGAAGGCCCAAGTCCTTGGGCCCCTGCACCCATGTGGGAGACCCAGAAGAAGCTCCTGGCTCCTGACTTCCAATTGGCATAGCTTCGTCTGTTGCGACCAATTGAGGAGTGAACCATAGGATGGAAGACCTCTCTCTCTTTCTGCCTCTCCTCTCTCTGTGTAACTCTGACTTTCAAATAAATAAATAGATCTTTAAAAAAACTTGTTAAATGGATGAATATCCAGTAGTCTGATTGGACATCAGTGTCTGGCCTAGGATTGGAGATGATGTGACTCCATGTGAATTCTTTCTCTCTGGTTATCCAGGGAGGAAAAGAGACAGTGGAAGGGGCAGAAAGAATCTCCTGACAGAAACATCCAGCTATGGTTTTGTCGTCGGCTGAGGGGACATCTTTCCATTGGAGAAAGACCTAGGAAAGGAGTGGCCTGGTAAGAGGGGTCTTCACAATGTTCAAGGAAGGGCCGGCGCTGTGGCGTAGCCCATATAGGATGCTGGCTTGAGTACTGGCTGCAACAACTCTGACCCAGTTCTCTGCTATGACCTGGGAAAGCAGTAGAAGATGGCCCAAGTCCTTGGGCCCCTGCACCCGCAAGGGAGACCCAGAGGAAGCTCCGGGCTCCTGGCTTCAGATCGGCACAGCTCCGGCTGTTGTGGCCAATCAGGGATTGAACCAGCAGATGGAAGACCTCTCTCTCTCTGCCTCTCCTTCTCTCTGTGTAACTCTGACTTTCAAATAAATAAATAAATAAATAAATCTTTAAAAAAAAGTTCAAGGAAAATGTATGTTCTGAAAAAATTATGCATGGATTTTAATTTTTTTCGCACCAAAATAAACTTATCTTTTACTTCCCTTTTTGCTTAGAGTATTTTGAAGTCCCATAGACTGTTTTGAATCTTGGAGAACAGAGAACATGACTGTATTCCTAGGCTGATCCTTCATCTCTCTGAGCCTCAATGTTCTCATCTGCATAGTGAGAGGGGCTGGGGGAAGCTGCAGGATTCAATGAGATAGTGCGTGTAAAACCTCTTACACGGGGCCTGGCAGACACATGCCTTTAACAAAGGTCCAACGAATGGAACTAGACCTGAGTTGGATGCTTTGGCTCAATACTGGAAGGAAGCGATTTTTAAGGCAATCAGTGTAATTCCCTGAAGTTGCAACCCTGTGGGCCTTTGCGTTCATTCCCTCTGCCTACAACCCATTTCATTTTTTTGTGCGTTTGACAAAAACCATCTCCACTGTGAAGCCTTCCCTCATCTACCCCAAGGAAGCTAAACTTCTCCCTAGTCCGTGCCCTGCCCTACTGGAGCCTACATGTATCACAATATGTCACTCTTCTATTGCAAATAGTTCTTTTTTTTTTTTTTTTTTTTTTATGAAAGAAGAAAGGACAGTGACAGAGAGACAGAGAGAAAGGTCTTCCTTTGCCGTTGGTTCACCCTCCAATGGCTGCCGTGGCTGGCACGCTGTGGCCGGCGGACCGCGCTGATCCGATGGCAGGAGCCAGGTGCTTCTCCTGGTCTCCCAAGGGGTGCAGGGCCCAAGCACCTGGGCCATCCTCCACTGCACTCCCTGGCCACAGCAGAGAGCTGGACTGGAAGAGGAGCAACTGGGACAGAATCCGGTGCCCCGACTGGGACTAGAACCTGGTGTGCCGGCGCCGCAGGCGGAGGATTAGCCATTGAGCCACAGTGCCGACCGCAAATAGTTCTTACGTGTCTGTCTCATCCATGGACTTTGAGCTTCCCAGTTCAATATTCATTCAACAAACACTTATTCAGAGTTACTATGTGCTAAGAGTGGCCCTGTGGTGCATGATCAGGGCTCAGTCTGTGTTAGCGGAGGTTGTGGAACAGTGAAATGATTGCAGACCTTCGCAGCATGCAGAACTTGGAATTGAGTCCGGGCTCTGCTGCTTCCTGGCGTGTAACTTCCAGCAAGTCAGGTCACCTTCCTCAGCCTCACTTTCCTCTTTGTTACAGTGAGAACCATTGTGTCTCTCCAGGGAGGTTCACAGAGGCAACAGGTGTGCTGCAAAGGGCGTGGAGCTGAGTGATGGCTCCTTCCCTCCTTCCCTCCCTCACCTACCACCGTCTGGTGAGGCTGATGAGGGTCTTTCTACAACGCATAGTTGGGGTGAGAGATTCTTACAATAAAACACGTGGGTGAAGTTGTGCTTGTGGAAATGCCAGTTGGAACATTTCCCACAGTTGTGCATTCCCCCTTATAAGGGCATTAATCCCATCATGACTTCAACTAAACCAGATTATCCCCCAAAGGCCTTACCTCCAAGTACCTTCATACTGTGGGTTAGGACTTCAAGATGAGTTTTTGGGGAACAAGAGCATAAAGTCCACAGCACCTAGTAATTGCATTTCTTGGTGTTTACTTTGGAAAACTCTCACACGTGTACCCAAGGGGACCTGCATGAGGGTTCAAGGGCTTCTAGCATGCAATAGTTGGGCACTAGTCAAACATAAATGCTTGTCAATAGGCCCACAGGAAGGGAATCTCTATATGCTTTAATGTAGGGAAATGTCAAAAGCCTACTGATAAGTTGTCATATTAATTTATTTTGATTGACAACTGTTGTGTTTATTTATGGGGGAAAATGTCATGTTTTGATCAATGCATACATTGTAGAAAGATTCAGTCAACCTAACTAACATATCCCTCACCTCACCAGCTTAGCATGTACCATTGTTTAGGTACTTAACAATCTGTTTTTAAAGACAATTTTGGAACATAAATTATTATTCACTGTGGTTGCCATATGGAATTTTTAGAAGTTGATCTCATAGAAATAGAAGGAAAAGGTGGTTATTAGAAGGGGAGGGAAGGAATAGGGGAAAGGGAAATGTTGTTCAAAGGGTACAAGGAGGAATACATTTTAGTGGTCATTGTATTGTACTGCTTGGTGCTCCACTGTTTTATAATTACTGCACCTAAGTGTTTGTCTCCCTTCACCTAACTGAGCACCTTGGGGTCTGAGAGCATGCCTAATGCAGCCCTCTATCCTTAGGAATAAAGTATTTGAGGGGATCTGTGGATATTGGGTTAGAGAAATCACAGGAGCCCCACGTGGCTGCCTGACTGATGTCCTGTGTTCCCAGTCGCTGGCCAACTCCTTGTGTGTTTCAGTCCAACCGCGTGGAAAGCACACACCACTCACCTTTACAGAGTGCCGAGCTGAGCTGCTTTGAGTGCGTCTACATTTCTCCATCTGTAAAATGGAGACAAAAGGGGTTGGCGCTGTGGCACAGTGGGTAAAACCGCTGCCAGCAATGCCAGTAACCATGTGGGCTCTGGTTCGAGTCCCAGCTGCTCCACTTCTGATCCAGCCCCCTGCTAATGGACCTGGGAAGGCAGTGGAAGATGGCCCAAGTGCTTGGACCCCTGCGCCCACGTAGGAGACCCAGAAGAAACTCCTGGCTCCTGGCTTCAGATTGGCTCAGCAGTCATTTGGGGAGTGAGCCAGCAGATGGAAGATCTCCCTCTGTGTCTCTCTCACTGCCTCTGCCTCTGCCTTTCAAACAAATAAGTAAATCTTTTAAAATAATGGGGACAACGAGACTTCAGGGATTTTAAGTTGCTTTGAAATTTTGGGGTGCAAGGATCCCCCAAATGTGGTAGGCCAGAGTGTGTGTTTGTGCTTGTACACAGACTACAATTCTGCAATCACTTCACTTGCCCTACTGTCCTTGGTGAGCAATCCTGACGTTCTAGGGTGGAGGTGTGTGGTTGTGGGCAGAACTTGCCCCTGAAACAGGAGTTTGCACTTCTCGTGTGTCCTTAGCAGCTCCCCAGTGCTAGAGAGGAACTAGAAGCCTGCAGGTGTCTGGACTTCCAGGCTCCTGGATCCGTTTAGCTTAAAGTTGATCTCTTATCCTTTCTAATCTTTCCAACATCTCTGATTGTGTCTGACTCCACGTTGAGCTCTCAATCTCTGGGCTTAAATCTTCTGAAGCCTATGTATCCTTGTATGTACATATGCATGTATGCATCCACCTATCCATCCATCCGCCTTTAATTTTCTTCTCAACAGATACTTATCAACACCCTACTGTGAGACCGGCACTCTGTGAGTACACGGGATACAGGCAAGACAGATTTGTCCCTGCTCTCGTGGAATCTTCAGGTTGGTGGGAGGAGAGAGCTCTTAATGCAACAGTCATACACATTCAACCATAAGCAGACCTCCGTGTGGTCTGAAGTGGGGAATACGTCTCCCTCTGTGCGTCTCTTTCTCTGCAGTTGGCTGAATGACTTACGACGGGCCAACACTTGGCTTTCGTGATCTCATTTAACACACATGGCATCCCTGTGAGGCAGGTACTTCCCTATGTATCCATCCACGGCTGAAGAAAGTGGGGCCCAGAGAAGGGTCTTTAACTTTTGAGGGCGACTCGGTTCCCATGCTCTCCTTGCAGGCCACCTGTCACGCCTCTGTACTGGTTGATCCCTCTCCATGATTGCCATGTTCCTGCTCTGGGCCCCATGAACGTGTTTTGTATGAGCTTCCCCGCTGGTCTCCCTGCTGACCACCATACCCCCTCTCCACTCTTGCTTCTTGAGTCAAGCCTTGTGTAACCATTTTACTCCCTTTCACTGTGCATCAGCTAAATCTGAACTCAGCAAAGCAGCCTCACAAAGGCCTTTCCTAGTATTGTTCATTCTGTATACGCCTTTGCTCTGGTGGGATCTCCTTCGCCCTTCTCCCCTGTCTCCAATGCTAGGTCTGCTTATTCTGACCTTTTGGAATGATTGCTCTTGTCTGGGATTCTTCTCTTTCCTTTTCCATTCCTGTTCAAGTCCAGATTATACTTTCATGTCCAATTTAATTAGTCTTGTCTATGACTCAATTCTTGGCCATTACAATTTACTTTGGCTAAATGCTAAGGAACCTATGATGTTTTCCGTCACAGTATCCCTTTAGTTTTCTGTAGTCACCTCTGCTAAAGGTATTTACTCTCACAGGAAGTTAAATAATCCTGCAATTGAACATAGGCTAGCATCAGATGGGGTAGTGCAATACAGTCTCATG